GGCTGAAATCCAGCAGAAGACTGGGATGTGACACATGATGAACAGACTTCTTGATGATCGGATGTGTGTGACGATTCTATCAGCCAGACTCCATTCATTTATTCTCTTCCTGAAATATTCCTCCTTCTGAGGGTCGTTGAATCCTCGTACCTCTGTGACCTGGTGGACACACTCAGGAGGGATCTGATTGGCTGCTGCTGGTCGAGAGGTGATCCAGAGGAGAGCAGAAGGAAGTAGGTTCCCCTTGATGAGGTTGGTCAGCAGCACATCCACTGAGGCTGATTCTGTCACATCAGACAAGCTCTGATTGTTTTGGAAATCTAGACGCAGTCGACACTCATCCAGACCATCAAATATGAACATGATTTTGTAGTCATCATAATCTGCTGAATTAAATTCTTTGGTTTCTGTGTGAAGGCGGTTTAGAAGTTGCTTAAGACTGAGATTTTTATGTATCAGATTCAGCTCCCTGAAAGGAAGTGGAAATATGAAATGAACATCCTGATTGTCTTTTCCTTCAGCCCAGTCCAGAATGAACTTCTGCACAGAGACTGTTTTTCCAATTCATTCAGGAACATTAGTGACTGAAGACAGAAGGTTGATAATAAAAACACAGGCTATAAACTGCTGATCCAGAGCTCTTACTGGTCTGTAGTGTGTTAGCGAGGTCTGTCTGGTTCATCTTCCTCAGGATGTGCAGTGTGATCTTCAGAAGCCCCTCTCTGACTCTGCTATGACCCTCATCATCATTACGGTCTCTTTCAGAGCATTCTGGGTAATCTGGACTCAGTAGTCTTTTAAAACTTTTTAACTCAGAAATGATTTTGTGCTCAAGCTCCTGAAATCACAGTGAATATTCAAACAATGAGCCTGTATTCAGTCACAGAGAAGGTGAACCAAATTATGAATACACAAGAGTCAAGCCCGAATTTATTTTGTAGTTTAGTCAAAGGCATGAATACTAATAAACATCACTGAATTATATCACACCTGCTAATAACTTCCACTGTATGCTCAAACATCAGCGTCTACAGATACTGAGGTTAAAAGAGGGAGTTTGACTGGATTGGTTGTTTGCTAGATTGATGTTCATCTTTATACAACAGTCAGGTTACATATGGATTCAGCTTCTCTACTTTAGTGGACATTGATCTGCTTTATAGTGGCCTACAATTTATCTTACATGTGTGTAGGAAAGTAAATATGACTATTACAGAGAGGATTTCACAGATTTCTCAATTTTTTAATACTTTTACCCAGAGGGTTATTGTGTGGACACACACAGACACACACACACACACACACACGCACACGCACACGCACACACACACACACACACACATACACACACACACACAGGTTTGTTTTTGTGAAAAGTGGGGACATCCCATAGGCGTAATGGTTTTTC